AGAAAAGTGCACAATTCTATGAATAACCATGTCATCTTTAACATATTTTAACTTAAATTTAGGTTACACAACCACCTAGCCATCAAGAAACATAATTTGGACCTTTTATTCTTCCTTAAAAAGTTCAAGCAAACTTACAGACCCCATAAAAAACAGTATTAAGTTAAGAAATTATGGTTGTTTAATTAGACAAATTACATATGAGTAGATTGTTCAACGTGTATTACTTTGACCTCTCTTGAGATTAAGCGTGCTCAACGACTCCTCCAACGTTTTCTTTTTGGCAGACCTATTCGTCAAATTTTATAAAATGACAATTTTGTCAATTATTTTATAAAAAGCAATATAATATATTACTATAAGGTAAAGATATTATTGACTTTTTATGCTCGAAGTCACTATTTACCAATTTATGAAAAGATTTAGGATAGGTCTAAGTAATAAACGCAGACTATTCATGTATGACTTGTTTAAGTTGCAGGAGAGTCGAACATACTCTACCCTTCCCTTAAACCTTTAAATTATGTAGAGTGACTGTTAAAAAATTACCAATTTGACCATCCAAACCACATCAATCATCACCACTAAAATAGCTAGTGACAGTCCAGTCACATATAACTAAGCTTGGTAGATGGCAGATTGCTAACTGCAAACTGTGGAGTAATGAGAATTTGAATGCCCTTTCAAGCAGTTTTGCCACTTTTGGCATTCTCTGTTACACGTACAACAAGGGAAAATGCTAATCTAACCACTCCTCCCTCATCTCTTGTCTCTGTCAATCATGAACCATGACTATTTCTGTGTCTTTGGTTCGGTTGCATTAAATGGATGTTTTAAAATTAAAATTAAAAAGTAATTAAACTTTAAATTAATTTTATTCAAATTCTAGTTTTAATTCTAAAACACTAATTTCATAATAGCACATATTTGACCACCTTCTCGAGTCGGTATCTACTACAAACTAATAAATCTAAAAGTCAATTATGTCACAAGTTTGAAATATTGTCTGAAAAACCTAATTTAGTTTTTCTTTTTTTAAAAATTATAAAAGGGTATTATTTGATATTGTACTATTTTTTTTTTTTTTTTTCTAACCTACCAGGAATAAATATTGTAGTTCTTAACTCTACTTTCCACAGAATATTCTTTATAAAAATAGTCAACTAAACAAACTTTCAAATACTTTTTTTATTTTATATCTTTTGATATATTGTAGAAACTATTCGGGGGACTTACTAATTACACAAATAAAATAAAATAAAGTAAAAGAGCCTGCTGTAGTTAAATGCTAACATAACATACAAAAGGAACAATTGAGAGTCTCAACGGTCCTTCTTACTAGTTTAGAATATTTTGTTATTTTTATTTATTTATACTTGTTAATTCTCAAAATTGAAAACGTGATATTTTCTCTTTTCTTGTGAAATTTTATTAATATTTTATACTCATTTCTTGAGTTTAATACATAGCTCGTTACCACATAAAGACTCTTATATTTAACTCATTTATATATAATTCATGTGGCAACTATATGCTATGGATTTGCAACCTCATGATATTACAAAATGGTGGATTTAAAAAGCCTTGGAATAAAAGCAATTATAAAATATAAAAGTTGGTCATAACTTAACAGTTCCTTATTAATACCAATGAGTTGGCAGACTTACCAAACAACACACAAATTCTAGGTTACACAAACTCCTTCAAAACACTATCAACTTAATTTGCCTTTTAAATCAGATTAATGAATGCTATTCAAGTAATTTGCATTGGAGCTTATAGTGTTTGACACTCTGTAACTTGGACTCAAGTGGAAAGTGAAATTTATTTCACAATCCCAATGTATATAAAAATTAAATTGAATTTTTCTAAAAGGTATGTGCATGGAGTGTTATCTTAGTAAATATGCATGAGGTGGAAATTAATTTATGATGAAACTTCAAGGTCAAGAAATCATTTCTAATATCTTAAATAATTATCAATAATCACAACATGAGGTGCACGTGTATAAAATACGTTAAAAAGCTTTAATGTTCAACAATAAATTTCAACCAAATAGAAAACCATGTGTGTTAAATTGTAAAGAATGTTAAGCAATTAAGAAACATAAAATTCCTCAAAAGATGTGTATATTGAGAAGTTGAATAAATTAATTTTATGTTTGGAAGTGCGAAATATATGGTTTTATGTTGGCAAATTTAGGTATCAAAATTTGACGATCTGAGTTGTAATTTTTTTTGTTTATTTTCTGTCTCGGTTGTAGAGCTAAATTGCAAGTGCCTCGTAAGCGTGAAATTGAGTTAAGACACTTTATATTTCAAGTTGGGTTGATAAGGACTCAGGGAAATGGGATTTTTATTGAAAATTTTGATATATGGTAAAGTCCGAACAGTTTTACTTTTCCCGGATTAATCACACTTCTTTGGATTAGTTTCTTTTGAAGTTTGGAAAAGTCTAACCGCTGCATTTATTTACGATCGATGTCGTACTTATCAAAATTCTTGATTTTTTATTGTTAGAAAAGTTCGACTGGCCGCACTTTTCCTAACTGGTCACACTTCTCTTGAAATGTGCGGGATTTCAATTTTTGGTAACATTTTGGTTTTCCTTTTGCACCAAACTCCTTAAGATGTCCTACAACGTTTTTAAAACCTTTTTCCAAAATATTTTGAGGACTCTTTTGGCTATAAATACCTCTCTAAACTCCAGTCTAGTAAGGCTTTAGGGGAATCAGAATGATTTATTTTGACATCATTCTTGGAGCTTTGAAGACAGACTTTGAGAAAGATACATTTTTATCTTTCTGAGAGCACACACACATACAAGTGAGTGTTTTAGAGTGCTGCTCTCTTAGGGAGAGCGCAACAGAAGAAGCGCGTACAAATTACCATAACATGAACCATGCAAGTGCGACCGGTCACTCTCTATAGGACTTTAGGATCGAGAAAGCTGGACTAGTCGCAAAAGTGCGACCGTTTGAACTTCTCCAGAATTGCGATCGTAGCAACAAAACTACCATGCAACCACATGGAAGATCAAACCACAACAATAAAGGAATAACACACATGCATAACACAAGATATATGTGGTTCACCCTAAATCAAGGTTACGTCCACAAATGAAGAGATTTCACTATAATGATGAGGAGACGTTACAATTTGTAGAGAATTACCAATATCGAAATAACTTGTACACTCACTCTCACTGAGCTTTCCTTGTGTAACTAGCTTCCAAGGCAGAGGTCGAGATACCCGAGTCTTGAACCGTGTACTGTGAATCTTTACCTCACTATAAGACACTCTCTTATCTTTAGTGTTCACTCTACTAAATCTAATTCTCTCTATCCATTAACTCACAACTCACTCCCTCGCGAGGCTGCCCTTACAAGTTATATGTCTCTCCATTAGTTATAACTCTCAACAATAACCCAAGTGTTTATTTATAGAGTCCCAATACTCAATTCCTTTAGTAGACAAATATTACAATTCCTTAGTGGCTAAGACTTGCCTTAATTCTTTAGAGGCCAAGACTTGTCTTACAAGAAATTCCAATAAAAAATAACTCTAAAATAGAAAGTAAGGAATATGAGCCACAATTCCTAACATGCTCAATTAGAAGGATTATCAGAATCAATATCAAATTACTCAGTTCGATCATGGTAGCAAAATTTCTTTTCACTTTTTCATATCTTTTGAAAGAAAGGTGAATCATTCACTACAAAAGGGAACATATATATCATTTGTGATGCAATCGTCTTCTTCCAGCAACCCTTCTACGAGGATTGAGGAGTGAGCCTAAAGTCTGGAGCAATTGGACAAGAAGTCGCAATCATAAACCTGGGACATTCAGTAACTAGTTCTTGGTAAATTAGAGTGGATGTGAGACCGAGTAAGAGTTTGTAACTTTGCTTCAAAATAGTGGATTAATTTTACCAAAAACAGCCAAGTCTCTGTGGTTTTTTTCCTTGGGTTCCTATGCTAAAATCCACTGTCATTTATAACTTTACTTTATTTACTTCCTTTACTATTTTATTTTGTGATTGTGAATATTTAATTGATAATTATTGTAGAAAATTAATCAATCACAAAAATCAAACAAGTTGACCTATTCACCTCCTCTTGGTCATTAGTTAACTCAATTTCACTAAATTAACTAACTATTTTCACATCATGCAACTTATCGGGAATCGACACCTTGAACTTGTAATTGAAGAAAATTTATTTTAAATATTGAAATAAATTTCTTCCAACTCCAAAATTAAGGCATCGATTCATCCTCCAAACACAACATAATTGAATTAGGAAAAGAGAGTGAATAACATACGAATCTAAATTTTAGAAGTAATGTCCTTCAAATTAATAACCCACCTCACAGTCACTGCTATAGAATACTAGTAATTTGATTGGAAGTGAAGGTGAAAAATGGAAATGAGGATGCCTAAAGGAAGGGTTGAGTCCAAAGAAGTTTATTACCTTGAATTTAACTGCAAATGTAGATTTATAAAGAATTGACTGGATGTAAAGAATCATGTAAGACCCAAATAATTGGGGTCAAAACTTATTTACTAAAATATCTTTATAAAAAAAAAAACAGATCAATGGTTCTAATTAAGATCCAAATTTTCCTATTCAACCCAACCAAGATCCAACTAACCCGACCCATCTCCACCCTCCCACCCCTCCAAGTTCAAGGCTTAAAAAGTTAAAAGTGATGGCCAAACTAATTTGAATTAGTTACAAAACTAAGAGGATTTAGATAAAATAGACCAATTAATAAAAAGTTAAGTAATAATTAGAGAGGCTAATAAGGACAGGTGTCATATATAAATGAGGCTATGTAGATTTACCCTCAATTCGAAATTGTCAAATGCAGCCCGGAGTCCCTGCCGGAATCTGACATCCGCCGCCGGTTTCAGATCCGCAGTCTTTATCCTTTTGACCAACTTGGCTTTCTTATTTCATTTCAATATATATATAAACACACACACCCACACATTGTACCCACTAAAACTAATCACAGGAAATCCAAACAAACCCAGTGAAAGGGAAGAGAGAGAAACAGAGACACCAAACCAGAGACCAGGCTTTGTGCGTCTATAAAACACACTCTCTCTCTCTCTCTAAACTTCCCCACACACACACACACCATTTCACACTTGTTTCTACCGCTCAAAAACACCCTTTCTGTGAAGTCCAATGCAAGACACGAATTGGGTCCAAACCAATTCTCTTTGATCATCATAATTCACACAATACCCTGCTAAGCTAAGAGAAGAGACTTTGATCAAGTGACCTGACAAGTCCAGCTCTTCCCCAGCATGGACATAGCGTAACCCACAAGAAAAATCGAAAGCAATCAGATCAAAAGCACTACATATTCGTGTTCTTTTCGCAAAGCAACGCCAACGCACACACATACACTCTGCTTTATATAGTCACTCCCGGGCTCACTCTAGCGAATTAGTCCCGTTTCCATAACAACACATAATCACACATAAACCCATCTAGATGGAGAGGTTTTCGAGCGGCCGGGACGACCTCACGGGCCAAATTGGGCTGATATGGCAGCAAGCTAAAGCACCATTGATCGTGCCATTGTTGAAATTATTGGTGGTGGTGTGTTTGGGGATGTCCGTAATGTTGTTCTTAGAGAGAGTGTATATGGGCATTGTTATAGTATTACTGAAGCTGTTTAGAAAGAAGCCTGAGAAGAGTTACAAGTGGGAGTCTATGAAGGAAGATGTGGAGCTTGGGAATTCAGTATATCCTATGGTGTTAGTGCAAATACCAATGTACAATGAAAGAGAGGTCAATATTTTTAATTTTTTCTATCTATTTGTGTTGCTGTTGCTATTGCTATTCATTAGTCTGCTTCATTTTTACAGATTTTTGGGTTCTGTTTTTGTGCAGGTTTATCAGCTGTCTATTGGGGCTGCATGTGGCCTTTCTTGGCCGTCTGATCGGATCATCATTCAAGTTCTTGATGATTCAACAGACCCATCTATCAAGGTTCTGTCTTCAAACCCATCTCTGAAAATTGTCAAATTTTTGGTTGAAAATTAAAAAGTGTACAAAAAAATCCCAGCCAAATAATATACTATTATATCCAAAAAAGAGAGAAAAAAAATTGGTATAGTGTACTTATACCTTATGCACAATTTCTTGTATTGTATTTTTTTTTTTCTATTAAAAAAAATTGTTTAATTTATATTTATATATTTTTGAAAATCTGGATTAAGGTGGCATCTAGCCATTATCCCATTGAATTCTGTTGATCAAACCACGATTTCTCAATCTGTACAAAGCTTTTCTGGCAGAGGTTTTTGTCAGTTTTGGGAAAAGAAACATCGAAATTTTTACAAATTCTGACCTGAGGTTGTCATACCAGTATCCATCCTGTTCTCAAGAAGTTTTTAGCTTGTTTTTTATTTTTATTTTTATTTTTATTTTCTTGGAAAGAATTTTCTTTCTACACAAAAAAAAATAAATAAATCTCTTGTCGGTGTTTTATTTTATATTGGTTTGAAGGTTTTCGTCATCTAGATGACAACAACTACCAAATCAAAACCCAATGACCACCCATAACTATACAAAAGTTCTCTTATTCTGTTACGGGGAATTTTTTATTTTATTTTATTTTTAATTACCTAATCAAAAAACTCACTCAAATACCCATTTTACCCCGGACTACAGCCCCCTTGGTCCGTTTTGGGGATTAATTTGTTATGTTTAGAATATAGACTGAGTATATCTTAGAAACTTTTTAACTTTTTGAGGTGGGGTTGTCATTTTAACACACAACCTTGGGCTCCAAAAGCTATGATTTTTTTTTTTGGGGTGATTTCTTGATCCAGGTTATAGTCCAAATCTATCCACTATCCAAAAAATCCATCACTAATCAACCCAAAACTACCCATTTTAGATCAAAACTGTTTGATTTCTGATATGGGTTTTTTTTTTTTTTTTTTTTTAATTTAATTAATTTTTATTATTTTGGATACAGGATTTGGTGGAGCTAGAGGTGAGGAGATGGGCAAACAAAGGCATAAACATAAAGTATGAGATTAGGGACAACAGGAATGGGTACAAAGCTGGGGCTCTCAAGGAAGGAATGAAGCACAGCTATGTGAAACAATGTGATTATGTTGCCATCTTTGATGCTGATTTCCAACCCGAACCGGATTTCTTATGGCGAACCATTCCTTTTCTTGTACACAATTCTGAAATTGCCCTAGTTCAAGCTCGCTGGAAATTCGGTAAGAATCTTAATTTAATCTTGATTAAGCTACTTAATTAATGCCCTGAGATTGTTAGCTTCAGAGGTCCACTGATAATCAAAGTTTATTAAGATTGTTTTATTTTAGATTTTAACTTTCTTGTAAACGCTTTTTCAACAGCATTACTACTTAATTAGCTGGAAAAAAAAAAAAAAAAAAAAAAAAAAAAAAAACAGAACATATGTGGATTTTCTATTGTTTAAGCATTCAAAATTTTCAGCAGTTCCTTAAATACTAATCGTATTTCCTAGTATTTATAAGTTATCTACATTGTTTTGGATTAAGGTATTTGAGACAACAGATTGCAATTTTTTTCTTTAGTCTTTTGTGTAACATGTATTTATCATAATAATGAGGCACACTAGACCTGTCACATGATGGTATGAATGGACAATTCGGTGGTGAAGGTGGTTGTTGACATTGCTTTTCGGATGTTATTGCAGTTAACTCCGATGAGTGTTTGATGACAAGGATGCAAGAGATGTCACTAGATTACCATTTTACAGTGGAGCAAGAAGTGGGGTCTGCAACCTACGCGTTTTTTGGCTTCAATGGTAAACCGCCTTCACAAGACAGCTAGTGATTTTAATTTTATCTTCATTAATCTTCCGGGAAAGGAATAGATTTTTATAATTTCTATGTGAAAGAATTTTTTTTTTGGGTAAAATTGATGTAGGAACTGCTGGAGTATGGAGAATTTCAGCACTCAATGAGGCCGGAGGATGGAAGGACAGAACGACTGTGGAGGATATGGATCTGGCTGTCCGAGCTAGTCTCAAAGGCTGGAAATTCGTATACGTTGGTAATATCAAGGTATTCTTTAAGAAGTAGTCCTGATGACATATCAATTTTGTCGAAAAATGAATTTCAAGAAAGCCAATCCAGAAAGCAACCTTGACATCCAAAAACAGAATAGGGTAGAAAGTAGAAAACATGACACTTCGAAATACCTAGCCTTTAGCTGTTTTTACCTACATTTTTCGGAAAATTTACAGAGCAATATTTCCCATTTAGTTGGGAAGTAGTACATCTGCAAACGTTTAGCTGTCTTTATCTACATTTTTAGGAAAATTACTCAAGAAATGATGTCCAGAATTCAAACTTATTGCATATCTAAAACCATTGCACACTGGAAGCCATTTTAATAGTTTTTTTTTTTTTTTTTTTTTGAAGTTTTATAAGCATCCGAAGTAGCTACTAGAAATCCGATTAGAAGATGGCTTGTTAAGAAGGAAATTTGATTTCTGTATTGTGCAACTGATAAGTTTTTGTTAAATTAGGCATGGCCTGAATTGTGTTTGTTTGGATTGTAATGTGCATTTCAGGTGAAAAATGAGTTGCCAAGTACCTTCAAAGCCTATCGTTATCAACAGCACCGTTGGTCTTGTGGCCCGGCTAATCTCTTCAAGAAAATGGCAATGGAAATCATGAGAAACAAGGTATGCATGTTTCACATTAGAAGAGTCTACTTCAAATGAAAATCAATAAGATCCAAAAAAAAACTAAGTCCTTTGCACTTGTTCTTATTTTCTTTTTCCTTCTACATTGCAGAAAGTCACTTTGTGGAAGAAGCTTTACGTGATCTACAGTTTCTTCTTTGTCCGGAAGATTGTTGCTCATCTTGTCACATTTATCTTTTACTGTGTCATTCTGCCCGCGACTGTTTTGGTCCCTGAAGTGCAAGTTCCTAAATGGGGAGCTGTCTATATTCCTTCCACAATTACTCTTCTCAATGCTGTTGGAACTCCAAGGTCTCATTTTCTTCCGCGACCAATTTTTCTTAGTCCTTGTTCTATTTTTCGCGCTGCCTAAAATTTTTCTTAGTCCTTGTTCTGATGTCACAAATCATTAACTTCCTGCGTTGGGGCTTGCTATCATGAATTTTTCAGTGTTCCGTTGCTAATTTGACTCAACTAATAACTAGTCTATGATCTACAGAGACTCAAATATCACAATTTTTCAAATGTGAGCATTTGAGCTAGCTTATTGCTCTTTTACTTACATTTTTCTTGTACTTTGTTTACAAAATGCTGCAGGTCACTTCATCTATTGGTTTTCTGGATACTTTTTGAGAATGTCATGTCTCTGCACCGGACAAAGGCCACGTTCATTGGTTTGCTGGATGCGGGGAGGGTTAACGAATGGGTTGTCACCGAGAAATTGGGAGATGCTCTCAAAACAAAATTAGGTTCCAAAGCACCCAAGAAACCTCGTATCAGGATTGGTGAAAGGTAAGTGTCTTCTCTAACATTTTAGAATCTATTTTGTGGAATTGAAATGATTCAATCATAGTCATCATGTAAAGTCTTCACTGAAATGGAGACATTTCCATAGCATCCAAACAACATTGACATATACATGTAACTGAAACTGTAGTCAAGAGATGAACTTGGCTAACTATAGGTTAAGAGGAACAAATACAGGCCTGCTTGAAAACCAGAAAACTGTGCAAAAATTTGCTTCGTCGATAGTTTTTGGGAACTATTTTCTGAAAACTCAGTTAAATAAAGCCTATTTTCAGATAACCGTCTTTTATAATTCTTTGAAAAGAGTTCTGTTAGTGACAAACCAAACAAGCCCTACACTTTCTAAAATGGTATGATGAACAAATAATGTTTTTTTTTCTTTCTATAATGCTAACTTATGCTGCATTTTGTGTTAAAACAGGCTACATCTTCTAGAGCTCTCTGTTGGGATCTATCTCTTCATCTGTGGTTGCTATGATGTTGCTTTGGGGAAAAACCACTACTTCATCTACCTCTTTCTCCAGTCCATTGCCTTCTTCATCGCGGGATTCGGTTATATTGGCACATTTGTTCCCAGCTCTTAAAGAAGATTCTTGGGATACAACACACTGTCTTTGAGATTTTATCTTCACCGATAAGTTATATATAAATCAGGTTCTTTGGAAGCAGCTTCAGTTCAAGTTATGAGTGGTTTTTTAGATTGTTGTTCATTCTTTTATGCAGGGCATAAACAATCAATATGTGGTTTGATTTATTATCTTGTATTAATACTCAGAACAGCCACATATATTACAAAAAAAAAAGAGATTTTGTATTGAAAATAAGTTGTATACAAAGGAAAAAAAGAAAAAGAAAAAGAAAAATAGAGTATGATTCAGTTTAGATGATGTAGAAACTTGTACACGGCTTTGTCTGGCTGTAGTTGTAATTTGTTTGTTGTCTTTAAATCAATAAAGTTATGATAAGTTCAAAAAAAAAATCTACATTTATTTATGTTTGTTGCTTCTTCCTATTTATCCAAGTTATATCAATTGTCAAAACAAAAAATAAAAATAAATATAAAATGCATTTTCATCCTTTAATCAATTCTACAATTGAGTCTGATGATTTTGCGTTCTCTCGCCTGCTTTCTGTGAGTTAGGTACTCAACATATTCCTTCTTGCACTCAACTCTATTTTCTTATGTACTTAGTGACAAATGCACCCTTTTACCTCCTTATAGTATATGTCCAAGTAATGCATTAAACTTCTTTTACAACAATTTTTTCATCCATGGATGAATCCAAATAAGATCTCGGAAAGCTTTAAACACATAAAAATAAAGAATGTGAAAGGAAAAAATAATTAATGTCATGTTTGGTAGAAAGGAAGAAAATTGGATGAAATTGAAAAAATAAAGTATAGATGAGACATTACTATAGAATAGATAGTGTCACTCTCTCTTTTTATTTGTTATGACAGAAAGGGAGAAGCAATAGTTAATATTGGATTTATCTAATAATTATAAAGTGTAGTATTGTAATTTAAATTTTCTATTATAGTCTTGCTTCTCTCTATACAAAACTAATTAAGAACTCTGTGTTGACCCTAAAATCGGCTTCTAGGATCCGATCTTAAATTAATGGAAAACGGGCGTGCCAAAACCAATTGTGTGGTTCGATTGTAAATTTTCAACTGGTAGTCTCTTTCAAGGGTTGACTTTCAGACGATGCGAGGATAAAGAGAACAGTGATACTCCTCTTAAAGTTCAAGAATTGCCTTAGTTAAAAGGACTTTTCAATGAATAAATTATAGTAAAGATTAAGAGAATAGAAAAGGGAGGAAAACAGATATAGCAAGAAAAGAAAGGGAAAGAATAAAGAAAGAGAGAGGGGAGATACCGAGAGATTGAGATGAAGAAGAAATAGCAATGATGCTATTCTTAGAAAGGCTTGAAGAAGCAAACAAATAATAATAAGGATTCTGATGGTGCTGGACCTCTCGCACAACATGCCTCTTTGTTTATTTATAGAGTAAACAATAAAACAAAAATCCTAAATACATGCATTCTAGTTGTATTCCAATACATTTAAATAATTGTTCAAATCTAACTAATCCTAACTAAATACTAACTCTTATCTTTATTTGAACACCAGATAAATATATAGCCCTTATCTAACGTATTTAAAATTCAAACATCTTTTATCCTATCTGCAATGCTCTTGTATGTAACCTTGCTCCTTTAAAATTCCTGCCATGTCATTCAACAAACAACGCATCAAACCCAACACTCTCCTAACTGTATTAGACCACCCCAAACAAAGACCAGCTCAATGATTCACCAAAATATCTTATAGCCCACTCTCATTATTGCATGTTTCGGCCCATTATCCTCTCGGCCCAATCTTCAGCATATAATTGCTTCACAGGTTTTACACTCTTGGCCCATATTACTACTTACTTCACTATTCATCAAATCTAATTAGGGCCAGAACCCAATTACCAAAATGGGTGCTGAGGACATTCGGATTTATGGATCCATGATTAGGCCGAAGATGGGTCTACAACCCAAATGCCAAAATGGGTGTCGACAATGTCCCCCCAATTTTGGTAGCCGTTTTAACCTTTCGGCTTCCAAAATTTGAATACACCTATTGCATTGGGACATAGCAAACATATCATATAATCTCTTGAGTTATATTAGGAGTAGATTTCCCAAAAATGCCGATCACACTAACCCATCTTGTCATACATTAATTACATTGTGATGATCATTTCATTTTCCACTAAAAACACTTATCTTCTCTCATTTGAAGGAAACTCTGCAAACGAAATCCTCTCTCTCTATCAAAGTTCTTCTCTTTCTGAAACTCTGTCTACAACCAAATTCTTCTTGCAACTATGGCTTCAAAATCACAGAAGCAAAGTGATTTGACCTTAGAAAATCCCTCTCCCGAAGCAACATTGCACACCCAAATGACAAAATCTGTAATCAAAACCCTAGCCCCTATCGACCTGAATACCACCACCTTGATCGATATCACAGAGAACGTTAAAGGACTTGGCCCAGCGTTTCTTAATCGATTTCCTCCTTCGTTATCCTCGATTTATTCCCAAGCCGAGCAACAACTTCCTTTCTCAAAACTTTTCTATCTGACAACGGAAGGGGACAGACCAACCCTCTCTGTTAGAAATTGGCATCCACCAATGCTCCAATGGAACGACTGGGTGGATCGTGTATCAGCAGCGAAAGGAGAGCAGTAGAAAAGGATGGGAATTTACGACCTCATCCAGCTCAGTAAGATCCCTTTTACTTTTGACCGAGCCTTGTTTTTTGCTTCTTTACACTTTTGGTCTCCCACAACCAATTCACTACACTTGCACTGTGGTATGATGGCTCCTACATTGAGGGATATCTGTTTTTTAACAGGGTTAAAGCCTAGGGGAGATGAAATCAATTATCTCCTTCAGGATGAAAGGATCTCTTTTTATTTTCCAGAACAAAAAGAGGCTAAACCCTATGTGCAATCAAATGGTCCTTTCTTAAAAGAAATGTTAGGGGAAGAAGGGACCGATATAGATGAACAAGAACATATAGGGTTTCTACTATTGTGGTTATGTAAATATCTGTTGTGTGCCCCTGCCATTCAGATCACCAAGGACCTTACTCAACTGGCCATTGCCCTATCGAAAGGAAAACCCATGGCACTAGCTCCGTTTCTCTTAGCTTCTTTATACAGAGGCTTGTCTGACCTCATTATGTCCAACTTTTCAAGGTCTGGAGGACCACTTTGGCTTTACCAATTTTGGTTGCATGCATATTTTCCTGAACTAGCTCTTCTCATTCTGCTTGCTCCAAATGATCCTTTGCTGTCTTTCGGATATGCTAGAGTCAAACCCAAAAACCATTCCTTTAATGACTGTTTTCAATTTTTCTATCATCAATGCAAGATCAGGACTCAATCCCAATTCCTTCCTTTTTCCAAATGTCAACTAGCTTCATCTTGGTTGTTTCCTCCTGCTGTTGAGTCTTCACCTAAATATATTGACCTTTATATCACTTCATGGGGCCATTTCTTGATTGCAAGAGATATACCCTGCAATACCGTTGCTCCCAATTTGCCCAAGAGCCGAACTGAGGTTGAGTTTTACAACGTAGCACAGTTAGCTTGGCAATTTGGATTGACCCAAATGATCCCAGTGCCTCCCCATTTTTCTTACAACAAGAACTATCACAAGCGGGTTAAGCTCTCAAACAGTGAACAGATTCAAGATGTTACCAATCGGTTTACCCAACATCTTCAAGAATTTCAGTATAAGTCCTTTCTAGAAGAACCGCATACAAATCCAAGCTTTGAAACCTAGTGGGCTTCATATATCAATTTTACCAGGACTGTAGATTCCAGTCAACTTGTGTCCACTCTCCTTGGTTCCTACAAATTCATATCCCTCAATTTTCAAGGTGTGGATTCCATTAAACCCGTTGATCTTACTACCGCTCCTGAGCCAGAGAACATAACAAATATTGCACCAACTCATCCTCCTCCTACAGCTCCTGCAGGTAGGACCAGATCTCGCTCTCGACAAAGTAAGTTTTCTATCCTTGTCTTTTCCACAATACTTCTGTTTGGTTTATATGATCACTTAACAATGGATAACATAATTCCAGGCACATATTCCAATGCACCAGAGAAATCTACTACCAAATCTGAAGAAACTCACATTAATTTCTATGTTCCTTTGCAAAGTATTCCCCCATCTTCGGCCACTTAGGTAAAACTCCTAATTGAGTCATCTATATCCTTTTTGATGCATACCATTCCCTTACTTAAACTTCTTCTCCAGAAAGCTACAATAAGGAAAACCATAGAAAAGAAACCCAAAAAGTCAAGAGCCAAGAGACACTTTGATTTGATTGATGATGATGAAGCGGATGATGATGAAGTCATCTCTAAGAGGAAAAACCTGCTACCGAATCTCCCAATGTAATTTCTTTATTGCCTGATCTTATATATATATTACTCCTTGAATATAATTAAATCGGCATTATTTTCAGAAAGCTACAGTCTCCTCAGATCAAAAATCAATTCAAGAAATCTCTACTGATCATGTCGAAGATGAAAACAAAATTGAAGTATTAGTAGGACAAAAGTCAAGGTCTCCAGTGTCTTCCCCAGACTTGGCTGCAACTTCAATTGGTGAACAAATTGGAGATTCTGATGAAGTAAGTAATGATTGATATATATATATATATATATATATATATATATATATATATATATATATATATTTCTTTTATGACCTGTTCTTGTAAACTTATTATAGCTATGGCATATTTCAGGTACAACAAGGCTCGGCTATTCCAACTAATCCTGTCAGTACCAACCCAAGCTCTCCCTTTGCAACCCTTGACTCTTTATTTGATTCTGTCTTTGACTCACCTAATCTTAAACCTCCTGAAATTCCAACTGAACAAACCTTTTACACACCCATAGAAGTAACAAAAGCCATCCAGATCCTGTCCCAAATGGTGCAACAAGACTTGTCTCTAGCCCCTTCATTCAAAAATGAGTTAACTGAAACCTTGTTCTTCTTGAGTAGTTACCCAAGATTCTCTTTAGGTGACCAAGCTCTCTTCAAAAACTTCCAACTTTAAGTCCCTTCCATGATTACTGCTTATGCCGAGTCTACTCAAACTCTCAACCATTATGCTGCTCAAACCTAAGAAAAAAGAACTGATTGCTCAATTTTTGAAAAATGGAAAAGAATTGCACTTGTCATTGAAAAGAGAAGTTACTGAACTGGATGCAAGGGAGAAAAAGCTTCAAGTACAACTAGCTCAGCTTCAAAAAGACAAATCACAACTCACCAACAAAGTGGCAGATCTAAAGAAAGAAGCAGAAGTTGTTGCCCCAAGGTTCAAAGCACTCCAGACTCGAATGCCAAAGTTGGAGCAGTCCAAGAAGCAGGCAGAAATGAAGCTCGATCAGACCAGAGTATCATGGGCAAGTTTCAAAGCCCAATTTAAAGAATTTCATTAAAACTTTAATCAACCTTGAATTTTTATCATCTCATGACAATTATTATGGATCTGTAATGTGGTATTCTAACAATATTTTGGAAGTAAGGTAGTTTTCTTT